GGGGCGGAGGTGGCGGGGGGGAATGCCACAGATAAAATAATCAGTAAAATAGTATACACTGCCTTCAGTATCTACTGAACAAATATGATATATATATGTTTGAATGAAAATGAAATGAAACCATTCTGCACATGTTGAAAATTCTCATTTTTTCCCATAGGAACTGTTTATGATGACATCAACGGCAAAAACTGTATCCCCTTTGAGCAATGTTCCTGCATTTATAATGGAGAATCCTATGCCCCAGGGACAACATATTCAGTTCCATGCCGTTCCTGGTAATTTATACATTTTGATACATTCAGCCAATGTTTTGTGCAGGAATCTAGCTTTCATCTGTAATTTCAATGTTTTTGATTTGTGATTCCTAGTATTTGTGATTTCTAATCTAATATCTTTAGATCAGAGCCTAAAATTTGTGATTCTCTGCTGGATGTTTGAAACTGGCAGGGTAACTAAAGAACATTAGTTAACTGATGAACATACTGTTAAACCAAAACTCTTTAGGAGAAAGAAGAAAATAGAATACTGCCTTTTGCAGGTCATATAATTCACTACTGTTCACTATGACTGACAAATGCTTTGCAAGTTCAGAGACAAAAGTTTTTACACACTTCCAGCTATTACCCCTTCTAGTAATTGTTCCAACTGCAGAGTGGAAGAGAACACATCTTTTTTATCAGCTGATAAACCTTCAAAAATCTCAAATAGGATTGCAGAATATTGCTCAATCACGATTGCAATAAGGAAACATTGGGTTTAATTAAGCATTGTTATATCATTCCATGCTGGAAGGTAATTAGCTATATTTTTCTCTTTAACATTTTAGTGCATAGTTTCATGTTGATGCTTTATGCTGTGTTTGGTCTGTGACCATAAATAAATAAACCTACATGTAAACACTTCCTGCTCTTTGATTCATTCCATTAGTTTCCAGGGAATGAAGCTATGATCATGTAGTAGATCATGGTTATCCTAGCTTTTGAATTACAAGATAATATTGATTGACTCAAGAAAAGGTATCTATAGCTACACATTCAAAGTGGAGTCTTAAATGCTACCATAGCAAAATAATACAAGCTAATGAAAGTACTTTTTCTTCAAATGTATGTCCCTAACTTTGGATTCTCTTTCCTCCAGTTTTTGCAAGGGGGGTGAGTGGAACTGCACTGAACTTCCGTGTCCTGGTATTTGTTCAATAGAAGGAGGATCGCATATCTCCACCTATGATGGAATATGGTATAATTTCCATGGAAGCTGTACTTATATTCTATCCAAGGCAAGTAACCTAAGATTTAACATTAGCAACCATATTTTCATCCCACACATAGGTTCACACCTAAATCTGAGCTTCTATCTCTGGTATTATAAAATTAGAGTAATTGTTCCTGATGTTAATCCACTGCTATAGATATCATATCACAAGTTTATCCAGGTTCTATTTCTAGATTCTATTTCTATCTTGCTTTTTTCCCTATGAAATGCTAGTTTTCTTTTAGATTTGTACATTAAAAAGAGGAACTTTGGGAGATGGGGAAGAACTTCACCAAGCTATTGTTTCCTTTCCAGGAGATCTAAATGATAACCATTTTACTCTGATTAAATCAATTATTATATTGAATGTGATCTAAAAAGTAGATAGAACTCTGCATGCTGCTCAATAAAATGGTATGATAATGAAAACAAAATTAAGCTAGTTAGAAAGAAGCTGAACAATTCTAAAAATGCCCTAAATTAATCTGGCTATCCACTCCTCCGTCTTAATAAACTTGGTTCAATGTTTAGTATTATGAAAAAGAAAATAAATGAGAATTTCCTGTTCTTCCAACAGGACTCAAAGTATTCCCTTTCTCTGTAAGATCCACCAAATTCACTTTCTATGACTAACATCACCTCTCTAGAAGTTATCCCAAAATATTTCTAAAATAGCATACTTGAAGTCAATCCGTTGTGTCAGTTATTTTTTTCCTGGTTGGTCTCCCCTAGATTTGTGAAGAAGAAGCCTTTACTGTTCTTGGAGAACTGGGCTCATGTGGCTTGACAGAGACTGAGACCTGCTTAAAAATGGTGGCTGTGAGCATCAATGGAGGACAGACTGTAAGAACCGGAATGAGTCAAAATTCTCAGATGCCATTCAGTTCAGAATCTGCATATAATCATTGGGCTTGCCTTCCAGGCTAAGAAATACCTTTTTCTGACAAAATAATGACATATCTAAGAAGCATAATTTGGATTATGTATAGCAGTTTAATTTCCTTTTCCTCTTGACTTGTTAATTTTAATAATTAAATCAAATTAAATAAAAGTTTATTTAAATATGAATTTATATGTGAGAGTTCTACTTAGCACTTGTAATGTCCCTCCCTCCCTCCTTCCTTCCCTCCCTTCCCATATAATTCATTTATATTTATATTTATATTTATATGAATAAAACTAACATGTAGCTGCTAATGTATTGTTGAGAAAAACAAAATGAAAAGACTATGAGGAATTGGACATAGTGGTCTTGGAAGTAGAATCTGCTCACAAAATATTCTCCTCTAAGAATGGGAAAGATGACTTTCAATAGTTTCTGCAGTCCCCTAAAAACCTGCTTGGAGAGTTGAAGGATACTTTGAAACAGCATAGAAAATGTCACAGTAGATGGCCAAAAGAATTGTTGGTGTGAATTTGCATCCAATAAAAGAGATGGTAGCTATTTTATAAATCCTGTGTAGGTATAAGCTAGCACACCTTCCCAGGCTGTATGTCCTCTCTAATGAAAGGACAAGAGAGAGTTAAATATTAACCGCTTTGAATCACACACACACACACACACACAATCTAAATCAACATAGCACAGAGAGACTTATTTCCTTGGATGTTCATTTCCAGTTTGGTTTGTTGTTAGAGTTTTGATGTTCTCTGCCCTTTCCATGTATGAGTGGCTTTACTGCATGCCCAGCCTGTCCACAAATAGGGTAGGATTTTTGATGATAGATAGAGGTACACAGAGATGGAGATAGATAGATTGATATGACTTCATATTTCTGTTTATCAGTTTCTGAAACCCTGACACAGTTTATCATCTCATTGATTATTTCTTCTTTGTTTTTATTCACCAGAGTGTTGTGATCAACCGTGATGGCAATGTATATGTTAACTGGATGTATACCCAACTGCCTGTCTCAGCAGGTATGTAGCTCATTAGAAATGTCTGTGCAGAAGGAAAAGTTTGAATCTTAGAAGTACTCAGCATATAACATTTGGTTTGATATCAGATTGACAACTAAACTTGCTGTTCTGGAAAAGGAATTCCTTTTGGAAAGGAAAGGTCACTATCCATGCATGAATCCTGGTCAGTCTCTGAACACATACAGCTTTTAAAAGACTTTAGAAACTTCAGCTGCACAGATTAGGGCGACCAACTTATTAAGGGACCTGCCTCAATAAGCTTATTTCACTTGTACTTCACTGGATCCCCAGTTTGTTTCCAGTCACAGTTCAAATTCTTGACAATATCCCTACTATCATATTTTCCTAAGCTTTTGATGGACTGTCATTTCTCAGGTCCATGCATATCAGCGGAAGAGCTCACATTATTGTTTCTGTTGGTATCACTACAAAATCCTCAAAGATTGGTTAAGCAGTGGTATATGCAGTCTGACCCACATCTTTAAAAAATTCAGTCCACCAGTGAACTATTGAAAAGTCAGATTTTTTAAAAAACTACCATACCAGATAACTGCAGTGGTAAATCCTGTGCAGCCTTTATCCATTTGAGTGGTTTGGGAGCTGGGGTAAAACCCTTCTACTTTAAGCAGATCTCATGTTACACTGGTGAACTGGTTAAAAGAATACAGTAAAGTTGGTAACTAAGGAAATGAAAATAGTGATTTTTGAAAAGTTGTTACTGACCAGGTTTTAACCTGTGACTTGTAGAACGTGAGTCAAGAGTAACAGCCACTGTGCTACTACAGCTTTATTGTAACAGTAGCTGCAGCAAAGAACCAAACCTCAGAAAATAGAGGAAAAGAACTTTTATTTTGGACTGGTTGCTGTGCCTGCATATAGGTGTATTTTGGTGCTTTCACTTTGTAAATAGCATTAAGGTTTTCAAAAAGTCTACCTGCCCACAAAAAGAAAAATGATTGGTGATTGCTTTCCCACCATGGGCAGGGATGAAGGTAAAGACACAGGGCAGTCAGCCAGTGGGACACCTTATTAACTGTGGGTCCAAATGGAATAGCTGGCCATGACCATAGCCAAAGTTGAAAAAAAGGCTGATAACCAGGAAAGGATGTTTAAAGCTAGCTTCATTTCTAGCCAGTTTATAGATGGGAGACAAGCTGCTGAAGGCTGCCATGTGAAAGAGCCTACAACATGCTAGGCTCAACTGATTGAGTGAAATGTGCAGGGCACACCACATCATTGGGGTGACAGTTGAGCACATGGTAAAAGTAATTATACTGGTTCCTGGTTTTTATCAAACCTTGTGCATGTCCAGCTGAACCATATTCTCAACTCACCCATTTGGTGCTAGCACCTGAATACCCAGGATTTACCTCTTCCTCTCCTGAAGAACTGCAACTGCTGATTTATTCAGAATGGCATATTCTTTCCCCATAGCTAATGTAACAATCTTCAAGCCTTCAACTTTCTACATCATTCTGGAAATAAATTCCGGCCTTCAGCTAGTGATTCAGATTGTTCCTTTGATGCAGTTATACATTTATCTGGATCCATCTTTCCAAGGGACGACCTGTGGTAAGAAATATTTAAAAATTATGTGTCATTCCTAGGTTCAAAGAGGATATTTGGTTATTTCTTCATTATTCAAATTATTAATTTCTTTTAAAGGTCTCTGTGGCAACTTTAACAATCACCAGACAGATGACTTCAAAACCCTAAGTGGATTGACAGAAGGAACAGCACCCGCATTTGCTAATACCTGGAAAACTCAGGCTGATTGTGTCAACATCAAGCAGAATTTTAAGGACCCTTGCACCCTGAGCATTGAAAATGGTGGGCATAGAATGAAAATTATTCCAAAAATAGCACTCTTTAAAACAATCCTTCACAATTTCTTCTACGTAGCTGCTGAAGAAAACTCAACCGAGATCTTACAATTGGGGAGAGGGGAATGGGACTGAAAACAATGCATTAATAAAGGGAGTGAAAAATCAGAAAATGTGCAAAGCAAGATCATGTAGGCACAGTTTGAGAAAGAATTGGATATATCTGAGATAAGTGGACTTAAGCTTCTTTTACTTATTTTGCTATAATGTAAAAATTGGAGCTAGACATGTAATCTATGATAAAACTTGCCATGCATCTCTACAGAAATGGTCAAAAGGATATGGATTTATTGCTTCTCTTTTTAGAAAAATACGCCCGTCATTGGTGTGGACTCCTGACTGATCCTGAAGGACCTTTTGCTAAATGCCACCTCATAGTGAATCCAAAGGCTTATCACACGGTACTATGATTGCCAATTTTAACAGGCTAGACTTTTAAGAACATCGGCAAGGAAATACATAATTATAATTAATTATAATTAATTAATAAAAGAAAGGGTTAGAGACCATCATCCTTTAGGGGAGGATTGAGCAAATGTTGTTTGTGGCCAGAATCTGGTGAATTTCAGTAGTAGATATTGCAGAATGTTCTGGGAGCATTCCCCCCACCCCGGCACACCCAGCAGATCTTCCTGAAAAAAACAGACTGAATTTCATCCATAGAGCCAGATTTGCAATATCATATATTATATTGCCAAAATGATCTGAAATCATATTAAATCACTCTATTAACAAAGCCTGGTATACCCAGGTCTGTGACCTACTTGGATGGAGAATACTTTGACTGGGAGTTTGACAGACTGGAAGGATTGCAGCTGAAATCTAACTGGATGTAAGATTTCAATTTGGTGGCAAGAAAGATGTAACAAGAAATGACTTGGAAAGTATCATTTGATTAAGAATATGCTTCCCTTTTCTAGAACTGTATGTTTGACACCTGCAATTGTGAGAAAAGTGAGGATTGCATGTGTGCTGTCCTCTCTTCCTATGTCAGAGCCTGCAAAGCCAAAGGAATTGACCTTTCAGGTTGGAGAACCAACGTCTGCTGTAAGTACTGTGATGAAACCATTCAGCAAGGAATTCTAGACCATGATAAACTTTTCTAGTGGTGCAGCAAAGGAATGCACTTTTGAATACAATTTTAATGCTAATCCCCAGATCTTATGTTTGAATTTCTAAGAAATGAAGAATTTCTGATGGCATTGCTGCCTTCATTACACCCATCCCAGATAGTTTGGGATGTGCTCCATTCAAAGATGATTTTTAAAAGCTTCTAAAAATTACTATTAGATCAAATTGTAGTAACCCAACTATAAGGCTGTATACTTGGAAAACATACATAGGATGATTTTCTATTTTCCCTGTTTGTCTATTTATTGCAATAGCTTGAAGTTAAAGTCCTCTCCTTCTGCATTAATTTATCTGGAATCTGGATATATGAAGAATTATCTATGTATTTGGTGCAGTAGACAAAGCTGTGCTCTGTGGACTTTTTAAAGAGGGATTTTTTATTTATTGTGGCACCTAAACTGTGAAAAGTCTTCTGACAACTGGTATTAGGAGATCCATTCACCACTGAGTATGCAATGAGCACCTTAACAACACATGTGGTATAGATTCCATCTCCATTAGGAACGTACACAAGTGCAATTTTCATAAGGGAGGCTGGTTTATGCCTGTTGCCACCCTAATGGGTAACACATTGATTCAGGACAAGAACAAAAACCTTCTCTGTGGGCTTATTGAAAAAAAAAAAATTATAGGGATAGTCCAAGAGCGGGGGAAATTGTGTAGTAACAGAGATGGGAAATTCTGGCTTTATCGGTTTCAGTGTCTCGGTTCCAGATTCTCTGCTCAAATTCAGCCAAGGTTTTATCAAAGCTGAAAGTGCATATTGCTAGAAGAGAAAGGCCACAGTATGCCAAATCATGGTTAATTGTCTTCATAGGGAAGAAACAAACCTACCAACAAGGTTACTGCTTTCCTTTTAGGTTACTAATTTCCAGATACATCCAAGAAGATTGCAACATTCTTATCAAGAGCTGTGGTTTAAAGAAGCTTTTGATGCCTTTCATACCATATTAATTGTTACAGGCTTTTCTCATAACTTTTTATTATTACTTTTTTAATTTGCAGTATTTGATATATTTTCTTATGACTGCTCTTGGACTGTACATAAATAAACTCTAAACACTCAATGCTGTTCTAAAGGGGGTGTGCTTAGTTCCTTCTGCTTTCAGCAGAGGTGTGGCTCTGCATATGTTGTTATTCAGTTAATCTGTGCGGTACTCTCGTTTTGTTATTTGAGCTTTGTCAGCAAATTTGGGAATCTTAAGATCAAAAGGCAGAGTGTCAATGTACAACATGAATAACTAATGTTTTTTGTTTGTTTTTCTTTCTTCAAGCCAAATACACTACTGTGTGTCCCAAATCCCAGAATTATAGCTATAGCATTAGCTCTTGTCAATCTACTTGCCGATCATTGAGCGAACCTGATATTACCTGCAATATCAAATTTGTCCCAGTTGATGGCTGTACATGTGAAAATGGAACTTACATGGATGATTCTGGAAGATGTGTGCCTGCTAACAAATGTCCCTGTTATTACAGAGGAACAGCCATACTTTCTGGTGAAGTTTACCATGAGTCTGGCATTGTATGGTAAGGGGATTCAAGTTACAAACTAAACTTGGTTATCAGACTATATAGAATAGTATCAGTCTCTAGAATGCTTTCCTTTGGTCCCAAGTGTTTTTGCTATTAAGACACAAGAGCGCTGCTTAAATACATAAAAAGTGCAGCATTTGGAAGAACTAAGATTTATTGACACATATGAGTCTATTTTCATGTTAAATACTTCATGTTATACCTGCATTATGATCAGCTATATTGTTTTTGAAGAGTTTTTTTAGGGCAGAATTAATACTTTGCAGCTTCCCAGCTCAGAAAAGAAATCTTGTGAATTCCAAGATAACATAAAAACAATAATCATTCCCATTTCTTTTACTCAGCACCTGTAATCAAGGAAAATTAAACTGCATTGGTGATGGCGATTCCGAGCCAGGTAAGGCATACATACAAAATTACACACATACACATTTTTTGGTCCATCTTCCTTTTAAATTTTAACCAGCCTAGTTAAAGTAGAATTATGTGACAAAGATAATCCGGTGGGGGGGGGGGATATTTTAATATTAGCTACAATCCTGAGCATGATAGTTGGAAGCAAGTTCTGTTGCGCAAAGTGGACCTTACTTCTGAGTAAATATGCACAGGTTAAACTGCAAATTAATATTTTAATGAGAACCATTTATCTTGTAGATGGAATGACAAAGAATGTAATTATTACTTGGATCTACATTGAGTCTATTGCCTAAACTATATTAGTGATTTCAGTGTATCTAAAAATGATTAAATCAGTAAGAAGACAGACGAAATTGATGGTAGAATTCCTTTTTTATCAGAAGTGCTTGGTATGGAAAAATATAATGTGTTGAGAGATGAGAAGTTGTATCATTCAGAGGCTGGTAGTGTCCTTTTTAGAAATATTTCTTGGCTCTAAATTGCATACAGAACTAAATGTTGGTTTTCTTGCAGTTTTTTTGGAAATATTACAGGCAGAATGGATTCATTTTGGGATATATCTGATAGTGACATGGATTCAACCCTGATCTATCTTTCTTTCTTTCTTTCTTTCTTTCTTTCTTTCTTTCTTTCTTTCTTTCTTTCTTTCTTTCTTTCTTTCTTTCTTTTCTTTTCTTTTCTTTTCTTTTCTTTCTTTGTTTTGCCTGAATGAGCAGAGTCAATAGCAATTGCAGGTTGGTAAGACTTCAACCAAATGAATAAAAGTAGTTCCCAAGACCTCACAAATCTTCTGCCCAGTTCTTTTAACCCATGATATCTAAACCTATCTTTTCATCTGGTACACCAACTTTTTCTCTCTTCTGAATAGTTTGTAGCACTCCAATGGTTTACTTTGACTGCAAAAATGCCACCACTGGCAGCAAAGGAGCTGAATGTCAGAAGAGCTGTCACACTCTTGATATGCATTGTGTAAGTATTCAGGCCCTATCTAAGAGACTGTATTACAAGTCAGAAAACAGTTCCCTATATCATGAAGTCATGAACTAATCTTAGAAAGTCACTCTTTCTAAGATCACTCTCACCTTCCCCAATTCCTTCTACTAGATTCTACTGTTCCAAATTCTTCAGTGTCCAGAAACCCAGGGCTCATTCATTCAGAATTCTGGTATATTGAAGCCTACCATGTATATGCACATATACAGACAGAAGAGCTTCTGGGTATGCACCAAAGCTATTAATTCAGGTGGTCATTCCCTGTTGACAAACACAGGCTTTCTAGCTGAATTGACACCAACATTGTGTTTAAATTGAGCCACCCTTATTTAAGCTGGACTGGAGACAAATGCCAATTATTTGACGGTTTATTTGCTCTCTCCTGAGTCATCTTTTCTTCCTGATGCTTACAGTACAGCCCACAGTGTGTCTCTGGTTGCCTATGTCCAGACGGGCTAGTGTCAGATGGGAAAGGAGGCTGTATTCCTGTGGAAGAGTGCCCATGTATTCACAATGAGGCCACGTATCAGCCTGGAGAAAAGATCAAAGTTGACTGTAACACTTGGTAAGCATTTGCTAGAGAACAGCGTACTTCTTGTTACATATGTATTCCTTATATGTTCCTTAAGTAAAATTGCCATGTTGTTCTTGGAGGGGAAAATAAAAACACCAACAACATAACAAGTTCAAAGCAATCTGGCAAGAGCCATGGTACATATTTCACATATGTACCTAAAACTATAATATAACTATATAGTGAACAAATTTATGTATATATTTATTATCTGTAAATGTATTTTCTATTTTTCAAATTATTTTCTTTCTTGGTTGTTTTGCATAAAATTCACATTAGATAAGTACAAATTCAATGCCAAAACAACAACAACAACATCTTGCAAAAGATAAATATAGGTCTTCTCCCCAGACAGCATCTGCCATATGGTTAGATTGGCCCTGACCTTGCTTGCCTTCCAAAGGCTCTAAAGACATGGCTGTGTCAATATGCCGGGGATCCAGCTATGGTTTGGAGCCCACTAGATGGCTATATTGATTGATCCATGACTCACACTTGCCTGTTTGTTTGTTTTTTAATGTTTTCTGGTTTTAATTTTGGCTTTTAATGGGGTTTTTAATTTGGTTTTAAAGGAGGTTATGGTATTTTTTATTTATTTCTGTATTTGCTGATCGGTTGTATTTTTTGGGTTGTTTGTAGTAAGGTGAGCTGCCCACTGTCACAGATATGAGATGGGCAGCTATACAAATTGAATACATAAATAAATAAAAATACTAAGCAAAGACTTTCTGACAATTATCTTGCTGTTAGGGCAAGGAAACACGGAGCTAGGATTAATCATAGCTGGAGGTGACAAAATAATTATGGTGATAAACTTGGTTATGGGATACCTAGATTCTGATCCATCTTCAGTCATGGAAGCTCACAGGTTTACTTTGCTCCAGTCACTCCATCCCAATCCAGCTTGTCCCACAAGGTTATTGTGGGGAAGCATGGAAGGAAGGAACACTCTGTACACTGCTTTGAAAAGGCAAGCTATACATTGAATGAATGAATGAATGAATGAATGAATGAATGAATGAATGAATG